GAAAGAATTCAGGGGAAAAAGAGACCTGGCTCTTCTTACGAAGAAGAAAGATGGGGCTGTGAAGCTGTCTGATATGTGTGCTGCTAAAAGAATTCAACAAACACATCCGTCCTTCACGGCACTAGAAGCCATGTTTTAAAAAGGGTCTGTCGTTGTTTACACCGTAAAACCACTTTTTTTACCTTTGAGTCAGCTGTTAAAAGACTGAGGTTGGTTTGTTTACATCTAGCGGTCAGCGACAATACCCAGAATGGCATGTTTTACTCAGAATTTCAACCCGGGGATAAATTTGCTTTCATTTTATTGTGTTTGAACTGTGGTATATGGAGGGCTTGTCAGGACAGGGTTAAAAGTTCACATCCCAGGGCGGGGACTATGTGTGGCAGTTACCAGACCTCATTAGGAAACTGGGATTATGGTTTTTAATCAAACCGACTCAGTAAGTGTACACAACATTGTTGACACAACAATTGAGAAGTCTAGTTCCCTGCCCCAATAAATTATGCAATTAGGACTGATACCACAGGGCTTATCCATGGAGCTAAAATCGGGTCAGTGTACCGAGCAGGGGGAACCCATAGTTCATCGTTCCACATCCGAGTGCCCAGAGACCCACTCAACAACGTCCACGAACTCCTTTGGAATCGGCACTTGAGTTGAATAATCAAAGCAGCCGATCTTCTCGTTAATTTTGCAGTTTTTGGATCAGCAGCACTCCCCCAGTTGTAACAAATGCGAAACAAAATAGCAGAAATAAGCAGGATTTTGTCAAAAGCAAACTCTTTTTTCAACTTTTGCAGTGCCAGAAGACAACAAAGTTGCCACATGGATGTCATGACAACTTCATATTCTCTACAACCTTGCTTTGTGGACTACAATAGATGTATCTAATTTCAAACAATGCTGGAGATTCTTGTCGCTATTATTCAAATCAAATCTTTAATTTTACACTTTCAATACTGGTCTTTTCTGAGGGTTTTTGTTGGGGGCATGGGATAGAGATTGTGTATTGTGGGTTATCTCTTAGTGCTTGCTAATGACACCCCACGAGTGAAAAATTGTTTCCGGTTGCTGCGGCTTCATCGTCGGCTTTGCCAAGCACAGTCCTCAAGTGCGACAGGGTGAAAAAACAAAGCATGTGTTTGTTTTATGGACTTAAAGCATCCCTGTACTAGTTCTATCACTTCAAAGTTCAAGACCGCATCGGGCACCACTTGATGGGAAATGCGGTTCAGCCCATCAGAGATTGACGACTGTTTCTCACCTCTGGGAAAAAAAAAACACCGGAATGAATAGATCGTTTCAAGTTGACACTTGCCGCCCTAGATCATTCTCATGACCTGTTTTATTTTATGGAGCTGCAGAGACCCAAATGTTCCTGTGCTCTCAAAGGATGCTAGATCCGAAACACAAAGTGTTGTGTGTAAAAAATTTCTCTTATTTGGGGGTGGGTAGTAAACGCGTTACCTTCAGTGGTAAGGCCCTGGAATTATAATAGGAACCAGTGTTCAAGTTTACATGTACATCGTTCATGCACCGAGTGAATTGCCAAAAATGTGCACAACATAGTTTATGTGACCTTTGGCACTGAAATATTAACCGCTTCTGCACACTTGGGGACTAGGGACCTCTGCAACAAATGTGTACGGAATATGGGGACACCGCATAGGGCCCGTGATTTTTTTTCTCCACACGAATATGTCCATTTGGTGCTTGACGAGATTATCCCGAATTCTGTGTCGGCTGCGACAGCAGTTACGGCAAACCTGTCTGCCATTTATCTTGAGATGATTTGTAGTGGACGGCGACCGATCAAACAGTTTGTGTTGAATAACTGTTTTTTTGCCAAATCTACGAGCAAAGACACCAAGAGCCATGTAGCAAGAACGTACCACTTCTGTACATACTCTTTTCCCATGTACAGTAGGTCTGATATTCTGTATCCTCTTGTGACACCCATCAACCTTGAAAATTGAATCCTCATTCAAAGTGGCTTTCTTCAAAGTGACAGTCTGTTTCATCGGTCTTGAACAAAATTAAAACAAACTTCTACCTTTCCGGGTTGTCAAGTACGATATGTACCAGTGTGTCGCCTTCCAAAATGACTTAATTAGCAGTGTTCATTTTACTCATGGTTCCATTGATTGAGTAGCTCCTCATTCCTTGTTTTGATTAACTTGTTTCAATTTTAGCGTCTGCCACATTTCCCTATATCTTCTTGTTTTTTTTTTCTTTGGATCTCATTTTATGATCCATATCAGCTGCCAATATTGGCATTTCGGATGGAGTCATTTGTTGCTATAAGCTAGCCACCTGTTATCCCACCCCTGCCTGCCTATCTGGACTTAATTGTATTCACCTTATCTCAAGTAATATTCACATTTTGATCAATATGTCTGGGGAGGACGAGTTATTGGTCCATGCATCCTCAGCCAGGGAAGATGACATTGACGTCTCATGTCTGTTTCCATGTTATATTGATCGATACTTTTCTGAGAATGTATTTACATTTTTGGTGCTTGTATGAGAGGGCTCCGTAGATGTCGTTCTGCCGCTAAATTCCGGATGTTCTTCAAATTCAGATTACCCACAGGCTTTCACAGTGCTTTCAAATTTCCAGTCAAGAAGAAAGTTACAGATTGATTAAAGCACTCAAAATTGTGAACATTAAAAACAGTTGGACCTTCTGTAGTTGGGACTCATATCATACAGAAGTCAGGTGGTACTGGTAGTGAATGAGAACAGTTTTAAAACATTGCAATAACACTACCCCCTTTTTTAAAGCGTAGGTGGGGCACATCATGTCAGCAGGGCTGGACGCGGGTTCTAGTCGGTCATAAATGTCACACTGGCAAAAGAACAATCAAAGTGTTGTAAAATCCACCCATAAAATCGTCAACAAGGCCTGAGTGCCACAAAACGGCTCACTGGAAAAGAAGAATTTCCTTGAATATGCCAACAGGATTTTTTTAAAAAATCATACCTGATGTATAAATTTTTACCAACCTTGCATCCCAGCCCTGTCAGCCCAGTGCACTGACCTCCCTATTAACAAGGCTTATACAGTTTGATATCAGCATTTTTTGAGCAATTTAAATTCCTGCTGATTAACGGGTGAGCCCCAAAGGGATGGTGTTCCCTCAGGGTAGGCCAATGAAAGAGGTATTTATCCCCTCAGAAAGTGACAGTCTGGAATGTTCACCAGTATCACCTTGGTTTTGTGGAGGGGAGGAGGGGATAATCAAGAGGTCATTTTGTGCCTGTGTAGAACCAGTCAACAGATAGCAACCAAGTGTCAAATAATTAGGGCACCTGTGTGGTAAAAGATACAGAGAATTCAACCCCCTAGTTGTGGATTTTGAAGACGTGCCCGAGACTTGACCTTATCTACTGGCTTCCCTGTATGCTCTCGAAAAAGCCACTGACTTCTTCATAAAGACAAATGCTGAAGTGTTCCGAAGGACTGGGCCGAGCAAGACTTTTTTAAATGGATGGTGTAGTGGGCACAGGCAGAGAATACAACACACGATTCTTCATGTTTGAATTCGAAAGAAAGGAGAATTGGAGATTTTTGGACCATTTCCTTGGCACAGTCAAAGCAAACCTTGGCAAACCATGCAGCCTGCAATGGACGTCCAAGTAGCTGAGCATTTTATTTACTTTCTGCTTAAATGTTATCACACTGAAAAGACTCACACACCCCAGAAGGCATCGACCTGGCAAACGCATATCAGCATAAATATCCACTGTATATATTTCCTCTCTCAGTTCTTCGGTATACAGCGTCATTGTCGAGTGGGTCCTTTTTTTATTGACAGACACTTGAAGGGAACCAGTCAGACCCTTTTGTCCAATTTCACGGCTGCTTCCTTGCGCAAACAAGGCAGTTCATTGAAATTCTTTCCCCCCAAAAAAGGTATCCATTTACTTCCCCGCCCGTAGAATCCATTTATCCGTTATCGGATTCATGCTTGAGAGGAAGTAGAAGACCCTGACTAGTTTTGTTCTCCCCTTCATCCTCGTTCCGTCCTCGTTGTGGTTGCTAATAAACTGCGATGGTTTTGGGGGGTAAACAGTGAGGGATGATTTACAGCAGTGGGCATTGCTTTTGTCCACCTTTTGACCGGACAAAGGGTGAACGGCCAATACTCTCTCGACAAAGTGATTTTGTACAAGAAAAAAAAATCCTCCAGTTTTTGTCCCCTCATTAGTGAGCAGCCTTTCATACTGACTATCCAGAAATTCATGTCAGCCTCCTAAATCTTGCCCGAGTTTCATAAATCTTGTCACCAGATTATTTCTTGTCATGTTTTGTTGATCTGAGTCATTTTTTGCAGTATCATAGTGCGTATGCCCCCTTGTGAAATGCAGGGTCTCGGACAATAAATCTTCTGAAAACAGTGCGGAGATTCGCTTACAGTTTCTGTGAATTGTTTTCTCTCCGCACGGAGAACGTGCTACACAGGGGTGTATTGTTTTCCGTGAGGCGTTTCATGACGGTGCTGAATCGCAAATGTGACCGTAGAAGCGGGGTTTCCGCCCGTTTGTTGTGTCACAAAGCAATGCCGAGTTAACATGTTTGCCAAGGTGTAAAACGATCCGTTGCCAGCGAGCCGTTGGAGGAGGGTCTGCCGAGTCCATCATGAGATGACTCACTCGCCGGTCGTTGGGCCCCCTGCTAATGGACAACGCATGCGGACAAGGCTTAACATTCTAGGACTATGTGACTTGACTTTCCAATAGTCTCCACTTAACCAATTCCATTCACCTCAGGGCCATGACGTCCATCCAGACTTTGCTGTGAACTCTTCAGCAGAGGTGAAGCAGCTCGGATTACAAACAGCTCACATCACAAGCTGTTGTGAAACTCAAAAAACATTAACAGTACCCTGACTCTACAAATACCTAGTCCAGGCTCACTGCAGGCAGTGTACCTGGCCTTTTTTTCTCAAACTTTGCCAGTAAACTGTATTTCTTTTGCCTTCTTTGTTTTCTTTCAGTCGACTGGAACAGAATCAGATTCGGTCCATTCCATCCAGGGCCTTCACACAGTACAAGAAGCTGAAGAGAATGTGAGTCTCATCGGAGAAACTGCTGGGATTGGACGAAATCAAGGATATTTTCCATCTGCCGTTTAGACCAGATTGGCCCATTTTCGGAAGGACAAAAAGTTTCTCAACTTCCTTCATTTCTTCGTTAGTTTTAGACATTTTTGAAAGTGATCGAAGTAGTGTTTCCAAAGATGAAGGAGTATCCATGCTCACAAAGACAAAAATTAAAGGACATTTGCTGAAAACCTCCCCCTCCCAGGTTTGCCTGAGTCTGGCCCCGTTGGTCGGAATGGGATCAACTAGGTTAGAGTGGGAAAGAAGTTGAAAAAGCCTGACCGAAACAAAGCCATGCATTTTAAACTTAACCTTATGTCCACCCCACAGTGACGTTCTCAATTCGTTCATTTACCTTTTATCTCTCTCCTGCTGCAGAGATCTGAGCAACAACATGATTGAGACCATCGCCGACGATGCCTTCACCGGTCTGAGGTCCCTCTCTTCGCTGTAAGTATCAACGACTTCTAATATTTGCGGGCAAACAGTCACACGGGAACACCTCACAGTTCAAGGACACTGGTGATCTCACAAGGACAAGGCCACGTGGTCATCTCTTGCGGTCAGGAAATTTGAGTCCTGCGTATTGGATGATATCCCTCTACATTGAGAATTTGAATTTCCCAGTGAAACCTGCCTGCGCCGGCACTGGCCGTGGGAATCACACTGTCCCCCAACCCCCCAAAACCTCAATCACCTTCCCACAATCTCCGGATACCACCCCACATTGTAAACATGTCAAACCACATAACTGGGTGACATGCCTTTTGGGGGGGGTGGGTTGGTGAGTTGCATGGTATTCTGAATGTGCCTACCTCAAACCTGAAGGCCACATGGGCATTCCAGTCTTTCCTATACAAACAGACAGTACCTGGAATCAAAAGGGATGTGCAACACTGTATTAAGTACTGCACATAAGACTTTATGGTGTCAGGTAGGACCACTCACGCTTTCAAAGCTCAGGTGTGCAGTGCAGGTTACAATGTGTCATCAGGTTGACTGTAAGGGCAGATCCAAGGGGGTATTTGGGACATCCTCCCCCCCAAAGAGAGAAGTTCCCCCCAATTTTTCTGGAAGAATACAATCAGAGAGAGGCATTTTTGTTGGTCTCTTTCATATCCCTTCCTTCCAAAAGTGTATTAAACAAGCCCCCCCAAATGAAGTCCCGCCCGTAGTCCCACCCCGCAGAAACACCATAAAGGTTACGTGAAAAGATCTCCAACTCCCCCAAAAGTTTAGCCCTCAGACAATGAGGTTTTTAGCACCTTTCATGCATTGTCATTCAAACATACCAACGGGTCTGGATTTCCAAGATTATTCAACCCTGGTCCTGACCAGCTTGCAAATTGTTTCCAAAGTAGTTGATCCACTCCCTCCTCCCCTCCCCCACATCCAGCCTCCTGGGTTTACTGCTCTTATTGTACCGTGATGTCAGACACAAATTTGTACACGGAAAAACCTGGTAGTTCAAATGGACAAAAAAGAGTTGTGAATCGTTCATTGCTTATATCTGCTGCGACTTCAGTAGGAGTGGCGTTCAGCTCTAGACTATTTCGGGGCAACTTCAGTCCAGTGTGCATCTGCGGACATGCCTGGGTTGGGACCAGCTTGCTCAAAGCTCACCAAGGGTACCACCGAGTGCCGTAGTGACCCGTTGTTCCCCGTCTGATCCCAGGGAGGTGTTTGGAGATCACAGCGTTCAGCTCCTTGAGTTCCTTTCTCAGTGCCCACATTGCGGCTGAGATCAGTTACAACTTATACAAGGCTACATGCCATTGTGAAGTCACTTGATTTCTCTTACTTCATAACACTCTATGCCCCCACAACTTAATCCCACATCAGGTGAAATGCTTTTATTCTTACGGTGCCAGATTATTGCTTTAAATCCCATTGATTTGACGTTGCTTGATTTCTCCGTATCAATGGCAAGAAACCCTCTCACAGGTCACATCATGCGTCACTAGAGTTAATGGACAGTTTGAGGCCAAAGGTTTCCTCGAAAGTTCAGGATTAGTTATAAAAGAAGATACAGTAAGGCTATTAAATGGCACTTTAAAGAACTCAATCTCGTTGAATTTCCTTCTTAGTAGTAATTTGTTATTCATGAATTTAAGGGGCAAGTTTGGGTATCAGATCAGGAAAAAAAAAAACACCAGAAATAATTTTCTCAAATATTAATCTGCTGCAATATCAAGTTATGATCGCAACGTGAATGTGAAGTCTGAGAATTTAAAAATGGACGGGAGCATTTGATTCCTTTGGTATTTTCACCATTCCAACCTAAGTCCTCCCGTCCAATCTCGGGGGGGGGGGGAAATATAGGTTTGCACTCCTCAATTAAGGCATGACCGACCATTGACAGTGAGCCCAGCCTGTGTGCACAGACTTCTGTCTCTCTGTCTCATACCTGGTGCCAGCTCGTTAAACCCCAAGGTCGCTTCTCTATCAAATTTTCAGCTGACATTTACCTTACTGGCCCCCCGTCCTTTTCTTTGTGCCTGTGGGCTGTTCAACATAATTGATTCGCTTCGGTTTCTCGAAAGCTTTGTCCGTCCGGCAGTCTGCAATATTCATTTAGCTAATTAAGATCACAACAAATCAATATTGTAGAGGGAGAAACTAATTGGCGGTGTGGTAGGAGCAGATAATAAGCAGTCAGTCGGAGGAGGCTACAAAAGGTGGGGGGCGGTGGGCTTATTGTGCCGCATTTGACCTTCGGGAGTTTTTTCCCCGGAGCCCACAGATACCCACATGTAGGTGTAACTGGTCTTTTTTTTTGGGGGGGGAGAGTGCCGTTGTCCTCCGTGCATAATCTAAACCCTGTCCTGATACATCAGACACTAAACGAGACAGTTTTTTCAATACAGATCAGTGAGCTGGGCATAACCAAGGCGCAAAAACATTGTTGTTCAAAAGTGAGAGGCGTAGAGTTCTGAAATGCATTTGAGTTTACCGAGCCTCATTTTTACCAGAGAGTTGGTAGTCTACACAAATTTGCATTACGAGGATTATGTGCGCAGTAATCTGTTCCTCATTCACAAGCAATGAACTTAATTGTACATTTCCTTCTTTCTAGGGATTCCTTTTTTCATAGGAGCTCGGAGGTTTATCTCCGCTTTTTTTTGCCGAAGGTGTTGACAGCTAGAATCCTGAGCACTTGTTAAATCGTCTCGGTCAGATGATGAGAACTGTCAAAAGACTCCAAACTTTTCAAAGAATCCAGTTGCCGGAATCTGGGGGGAAAATCTTACAAGCTGCTTAACGTTTCCTTAGTTTATTCGTCGTAGTCCATGGAGTCTCATTCATCACTTGAAGGGCAAGCTGTAGGCCTGCGCCGGTCCCCTGTAGATTCTGGTAGGAGCACGTGAAATGTGTGCAATTCACCTACGTGGCTTCAGGGTTTTTGTAAAAGGGTTGCAGTTGTCTTCAACTGGAAAAATGTTGCTGCCTTGAGGGCTGTAACGTAGGCGTCTCGTGGCTCTCAAGGGATCAAACAAGAGTGACACCGGGTGTGTTACATGAGCTGCATGAGGGAGCACATCTTCATAGAGAGAAATCCAGCTGTCCCTTTTGGATAAGCCCTCTTCATTCATACATGACAAACAGTCACCGGAAAAAAAAAATCCACATGTCTCTGTCACTTACTGTGAATCAGCAGCCCTAAGCCCTTCCTAATACCCCCCTCGCTGGCCAGGAATATGACTCTATCCGCCGATTCCCGATCCGTCCCGCATTCCAAACGCGGGGTCCGCTTTCTCCATTCTGTGCCTTACGCGTGCGATGATTTCGGTCGTAGCCATTTTCCCCCCCCCCTTTCAGAATGAGCACAGGGGCCTGGTGGATCTGTTGGCATCAGAGCCCCAAATCCGCATTTCCTGATTGAAGTTTGATGGAAGCGATAAGGACAGGGTGTAAAAAGACGTGAGGTGTCTGTGTTTGTGAAGTTCCCATCCGCTTTCGGTCAACGCACTGTCTCGTCAGCTACCATGCTTCCAAAAACTGCCCTCTGCACTTTTTTGTTTTCCTTATTGAGTATCTGACTTGTCTTGTAAAATAGATAAGATGGTGCTAACGTGCTTAGGATTAACTGGAAAATGATCACACATGCACACAGTGTATCCCCAGTGCATCATCTCACACATCAGTCTCAACTCTGTGATTGACTCTCTATCTTTACAGTTTAACCGTGCAAACTTCTTTGACAAAGATAGCTGTTGGTCACAATCAGGAGTGAGAATTATCAGGATTTTAGCATTAGTATTTTCCCTGATTCCGGATTTTCAAACAGTCACTATTAAGATCTGTAAAATCCTGTACTATTTAAAGGTTTTTTCCAAAGAAAAATTAATGTAGAACACAAAAAACCTGATATTTTAAAGGGTGCCTTTAAAGTATTTAAACCATAAACCCTGTACTGCCGTGGGACCCTTAAAACCTGTAGTAATTTATTGGGGGGATATTTCATTTTCTTGCAATCTCACCCCTGCACAAGCAATTTCCTTTCTGAGCGTAATCAACTGTCGCCAGCCCCACCCTAAAATAGCATGAAAACAAATCTGGGCTCATTTGACAGATCTGTTGCTCATATGACCTTAAAGGTCAAGGACGCAAAACATGTATATACAGGTTTCAAAGAGGCCGTCTTGTCCTTAAAGAATAGAATTTTGCAATTTGAAATGAAAGCCTGTGGTGGTTACCAATCCTTCCCATCTCATAACTGCGTATGAAGCCACGTATTGAAGCCCTTGGATAGACTTTTGGCCATAATCAGGTAGCCCACTCAAACACATCAATCATCAGAGGTGCTGGGTTTGAGGATGTGCACTCATGTCTGCCTAAACGAGGGGGCGCATAATCATCTTCCAGTATCCCCCCCCGTCCAAAAGTTTTGGGGTGTTTGAGAACCAGAAGGACGTCCTTTCCCCATTCCCCAGGGTTTGCACCTAAACGATCTCTAGGATGGAATCAAAGAGAGACAGGTGGCACAGTGTCAGATCCGCTTGCAGAACATATTTTGCAAGTTCGGGGAAGTCCTTTTATTCCTTGACAGGTTGGCCAGAAACTCAACTCTCATCCCTCATGTTCTTCTTGTTCATCTCCATCACTCCCCTGATGCAGGGTTCTCTATGGCAACCAGATCGCTGATCTCCCCGAGGGAATCTTCCGTGGCCTGACGTCCCTCCAGTTGCTGCTCCTGAATGCCAACCACATCTCCTGCATCAGGGTCAACCTCTTCCAAGATCTCATCTCGCTGAATTTGCTGTAGGTCTTCCGCAATTTCTCATCGTTCTGTCCTTTTTATTTGTAGAACTTATCTCCCCCATTTGATTATGTTGGCTTTTTCCATAATAGCGTTAACGTTGAATTCCCAGATAGAAAAAACACCCAACAAATTTTTTTGTGGTGATGTTTGTCAGAGGATGGTGTTAAAATTTCACAGGAGAATTGATAATCCTTCAAGTGTTTCTACATGTACGTCCCTGTTCCTTGGTCTTAAAGGCCACAGAGATACAGAGTAGTCCGGTATGGGAGAAGCAGTTGCTGCGAACTGTCCTGCCTATGGACACAAACACGGCAAAGTGGCTTGCTTTGAGACCATTTTCTATCAGTCACCCACAGACTTTTCAAGCTCACTTTTATGTTTTCCACCCCAGGTCCCTGTATGATAACCAGATCATGTCTCTCGCCAACGGAACCCTGGCCCCACTGCGCAACCTTCAAACCATGTGAGTACAGCTTACCTTTTCTCTTTCCGACTAATCCGCAGCAGGTGGTAATGCAGCCAAAAGGTAACGCGCCATTAGTCATTAGCACACTGGAGACTCCCCTTAAAGACCCTCATGTGACTATGAGCCTAAAAAAAAACAAAGGAAAAAGTGAAATTTCGCATCCATCACTTTTGCAGCTCCATTCCTGCGTCTTGCCCCTACTGCTAAGTGAGTGACACCGGCAGCTCTTGAGATTTACGGTTTGACAAACGTTTACGCTGGAAGCGCGCGGCGACTGAATCAACCACTTGTGCCGGCTCTTTGGTGACGTTAGTCTTGTTAAGTCTACTATGCGCGGTGTCGCCAACATTCCGGCCGACCCGTGCAATAATTATTGGATAATAAGCAGTTCCTGCTCTGTAAAGTTGCGGTCGCCACGGAACCGTTGACTGGCTTGTGTATACCTGTTTGCAAAGCTGGATGTTCGCGCCTACACGTATGTCTCGTTCTCGTTTTGGTCTAGTGGAAGATGTTGTTTTCTGTTGCACATCCGCTCTGGGATGAGTTCCCTGTCGCCAACGTTGACAGATGTGGGCAATCGCCACTCAAGGCGCGGATCATCTTCAGTTTAGAATACAGTCACATGGAGCCCCCCAACATCTGGCCTTGTTCATTGGTACATGTACCTGTCTCGATAAAGGGCAATGTGAAATCGGGCATGGGGCCAAATTGACCGTCATTGGCTGTTTGCCTCTTCAATTTGTGCACCCAGCTTGTTTCAAAGTTATTTATTTTCAGTCTCACTTTCTCGGCAGTTTCTGGAACCCATTCCACTAATTCAAGCAATTCTTCCTCGGCTGTTATTTTACAAATTCAGTTGGCTGGAATTGTTTTTTTTTTCCAGAGAGGTACATGTATATGAGAAAATGATTCAGCTCAGATTTTCTTGCAGTTTCATTTTCCGTGTGTTCTTATTTCTTCGTAACCAGGAAACTAAATATCCACTGGTCTTAGGGCACGCTGAGCATTGTTGCAACCTGAGATGCTCCCTGGCAAGCACGGGCAGTAGAAGCTGTCTCTTTCTTTGAAAAAAACTCGAAAAGATGCAAGACTCTGTTTGCTGGAAATTTTCCACCATTCTACCCAAACAGGTAGTTTCCCCCGAGAGAGCCCCTCAGAGAAAGCCTCTAACCCAGTCAACACACACCAGGGATGAAACGTGGGGGGATAATCCTTGCACTTTGTAGGGATTCCAAAAAAGAGTTACTTTTGTCTTGCACGTTGACAGCAGCCGGCTGATCTGGTAAACCAACGAGCTCAAGGTTTTCTGTGGAACTGGGAGGGGGGGACACTAGGCTTGGTCGAGCCAGAGGGCATGAAAACGGAAAAATGACGTTGGTCATTTTGTTTGAAAAAATACTTGATCAAACCGCCCCAACAATCGAATGTTGGCTGGTAAATAAGTCCCTCTTGTTCTTCACTCATCAAAAAAGCCAAGCTTGTTTGAGCACTCGCGAAAACTGGAAACATGCAAAGGCTTTTCCTGACAAAGGAATATGACACAAGTCAAAAAGTGGACGTCAAGAAGCCATCTAAGCTCCTTAACATGCCACTTTTAAACAGTACTTTTCAGGTTACGTTTATCCATCAGATTAGAGTGTCAGCGAGGCACAAAAGTTTGATGGAGATCAACCCCCAAGTCATTTTGGTCAAGATATTCCTCAAGGTTGATTCTGCAACCTGTCAACCCCCCCCCCGCTGGCACGCGGTGAGCAGCTTCATATGTAAGATGGTAATTGTCCTGGCTCCGTTGGAACCCAGTCAGAAAGTTAATGCCTGATCTGATTGGTTGAGAGAGTTTAGGCAGTGTGGAGCTGTCAGTAGGGGAAACAGAGAAAGGATCGCGTCGTGGAGAGAAGTTGATGTGCCTGTTTTTGTGATTGCTTCCTTTAATCTCCCCGAGCCTGATTCCCCGGTTCCCCGTTCATCGGTACACACTTCAGGAAGTGATACCCTCTTTCTGGTGACCCCCCTCCCCACACATTATGGAGATAATCCTGGTGATTTTTTTTTTTTTCTTCCTGTCTTTCTTGTCTCTCTGGGTATCACATTTGGACTGATGCTTTAGGAGATGGCACGGCAACAAAAGGTGCAGGGGAGCGGTGAAAACGATCTGGGACATTTTGGGAGGATTTATCTGAGGGGGCTGTTTAGGCGGTCAGATTGCCTCTCTGCCGACATTGCTCAATCTACCACAAAATTGGTCCGCGGAGGGAGAGCATTAGCAAGTGCATTTCTGAAGAAGCTTGCTCCGTACCTTTTTTAACTGTGACATTTTTACTCCTAAAAAAAAAACCTGACTCACTTTGCTCTGACTTGCAGATTTGACCAAATGCCAACCTCCTGATTATGTCTATCTCAATTTTGGGCAGAAAACATTTGGAGCAAAAATCCCCAAGCAATCATGGCTTGGGGATTTCAAGATATGAGCGTGTGCCTACCGAGCAGGGCTCAGTGGAAATTTCCGTGCCCTTTTTTTGTCCCCCCAAATGGCCCACTAATTTTATCCCCAGAGCAGTCTAAAAATGAGTGTACTCGTAGGTTACGCTTTGGTCGCCTTCACAGACGTGGAAGATGTTAAATTTTAAAGTTGAATAAGCACTGCATTAGTTTCTGCAAGTTTGTGAGGTAAAGAAGTTCACAAACTTGCTCAGGTGGGATTTGAACCCACCACATCTCACAAGCTCGGGTGTCCCACCCACTTGACGAGTAATCTTGCCACGGTCAACAGGGTGATGCGAATCTGATCTACATGTGTGACAGCAGGTACATGCACTGCACTTAGTGACTGTTGAGGGTGAAAAACATACACTTCCAGCAATTTGGTCATCGGTCCGCAAACATTTTTGGTGTTAAAAATAATTGATTCTAAAATGGCGTAGTTGTCAACCCTAAAAGAAAGCGGTGTTGTAATTCCTATGTTGAAATTAAAATTTTTTGGAAATTTATCCTGATGGCCAGCAATATTGTTTCTTTTATTGTCACTGTATCCAGCACTTTTTTTTTGCAAGGCAACCTTTTTTGGAATAACATCAGTTTTTTCCATGATCATTTTTTTCGCCTCCCAAACCAACACCAGCTGACAAGATTTTTCCCGTGGGCATTCTTAAATTTAACAATCCTCCTGCTTGGCTTCAAGCGGATGTTACCGCCGGCGACACACACGTCACAGTGGGGTTCACTCATGTCTCTCCCACCCCCACTGAACTTTTTCTTTTTCGCCGGAAGAAATACCCCCCCCACAAGCATGTAAACACTTTTTAAAAGTACCAGTGATGGCATCGGACAGAAATGTCACGTTGCAGTAATTCGACATCTAAAGCAGCCCAGGCTGGCCAGCCGTGCCGTGAAGCTGATGCAAGGAGAGAACCATAATACGAAATTTCCTGCATGCACGTGGCTACCCAGATAACACCAGCATGTACCACCGGGTCCCTGACTCTGTAAAACCTCCCTCCCCCGCCGGAGCAATTTTTGGGCCTTAAAAAAATCTGTTTTCATTGGCAATTAATGTGTGGACATATGAAATAAACCATGGGTTGAGACTTCTGTCCATGGGGGGACCGGTGGAGGTCTTGATGTACATTCATCATACACTTGTGTGAGTTGTGAGAAATTGCAGTACTGGCTAACTGTAGAAGTTTTGGAAGAAAGTTACAGTTTATTGTCGGAGAACTTCTCCCCCCCCCTTTTTTTTATTGACAATTTTTAAGATGTATTAAGTAATGATCGCCTGTCCAGTTAATCTGTCTTGAGAGTTGAAAAACATGTCTGGCCAAAAACTTCAGACGGCGTGGGACAACTTAGAAGTTTCCATGTTTGTTGTTAACTTATCAAAGACTGATGAAACTGGACGGCTGTTCAGAGTGTGATGAAAAGAAACAGCAGATCGGCACAATTTCCAAGCCTTTTCGCCCGTGCGTAATCTGCAAGCTTCTAAGTGGCTTACCACTAAGGAGTGTTTAAATGATGGTGAAAAGCTGCTTCAACACCAGACGCTGCCAGAATGTGGGAGACTTTAGCAAGAGTCAGTTCTATGCTTCTCGTCTTCTGTCATTGATCAAATGAATGAGAAATCCTTTTGCACAGGTACCTTCAACAAGCCACATTTTGCATGCACAGGCTGTGCAGAAACCCCAAATCTGTAGCCAGGAGTGAGATTTCTCAGCCTTTTTTAGCTGATCTCGGCTTTTTTTTTGCTTTGGATTGCAGCTTTTTTTTCCTCACTGGCTGTGTACAAAAGTATAGGAGATGTTCACAGTTCAGCTTCTTTATGTCTTGTTTCAGGTGTTTTCAGCTATTTTTATCATTGGTCAATCTCACTCCTGTGAAGTGTGTACCTCAATTTGCATCACACTGGTAGCAACTATTGGTAGCAGGTTGACTAAATGTGAAAAAAAAAATGCCCCCCAACTTTGACGGGCACACCATTATCTTTGTACTGTTCAGAGGACATCGTATTTGCCGTAAAACGTGTTTTGAATGCAACCTGCAGAACCTTTAAAATATCTCACGATGGCACACGATTCTCACAAGAACAATCATGGTCCACGTACATCGTGCGGTGCATGATTCAATTATGTGCATGTACAGTCGCAACATATCAGCGCTGATTGTCCATTGATTTCCCAATGCCCCAGCATTATTGACGCAGTGCACGAATTCCATCCATTGCCATATGCCGGCTGGAGAGTGCCGCTAATGGCCTCACGTTCGGGAGGGGATCCAGGCATGCCATTGGGGTGTCTTCAATGAGTGCAGTAGTACCGTCGTCTGGCTGGTCACACGGCTTGTTGAATGCTTTCTTTCATACATAGATGAACAAGTACTTCACTGGAGGCATTTTGTTTAGCTGCAGTTGCTCAGTTGAAAACACATTTACAAAATTTTCTTCTGCCCTGCTAAAATGGTATTCTTATGAAAAAAATTAAAGTAATAATCAAGAAATCACTTTAGAA